AAACAACCTCTGGGCTGATCTAAGTCAGGGCATGGCCAACTCACAGATCAAACCCTGAAACAACTTCTGGGCTGATGCAAGTCAGGGCATGGCAAACTCACAGATCGAACCCTGAAACAACCTCTGGGCTGATCTAAGTCAGGGCATGGCTAACTCACAGATTGAACCCTGAAACAGCCTCTGGGCTGATCTAAGTCAGGGCATGGCTAACTCACAGATTGAACCCTGAAACAACCTCTGGGCTGTTCTAAGTCAGGGCACGGCTAACTCACAGATCAAATCCTGAAACAACCTCTGGGCTGATCTAAGTCAGGGCATGGCTAACTCACAGATCAAACCCTGAAACAACCTCTGGGCTGTTCTAAGTCAGGGCATGGCTAACTCACAGATTAAACTCTAAAACAGCTTCTGGGCTGATCTAAGTCAGGGCCAGGTTAACTTACAGATTGAACTCTACTCTCATGCATGTGTTGGCAAGTCCAGTAATCAAACCCAAGACAAATGCACTTGTTACTATGACTACAGAGTGCACACTAACCTACCACTATTAACAGGCTAGCCAATTAATAGTTCTTTTTTTGTTATTCAACATATTTTGATTTAGAAAGGGCTGCCTATTGCAAGAGGTGCAGCGATGGTACTGAACTTCAACTGCATGTTGATTCTGCTAACGATGTGTCGGAATATTATATCACTGATTAGAAGCCATTGTAATGTAAGTAGCAAGTGTAGTTATCTTTGAATGATTAATTTTGATAATTTGACTATTTTCATGGAGTAGATGGATAATCTTTCTTATTATGTGATCAATAGTACCTCAATAAGGGGTACCTCAGAGGTCTTTCTTGGGGTTCCTTATAGTTCTGACATATAAATAACACACGGGAATAAATGTATGCATAAACAAACGAACGGATGGACAGACAGATGGACGGATGGACGGACGGACAAATAAATGAAAAGAAATTCTTTTTCATCATTCTTTTCACCTTCTTTTCCTTTGTTTCATTAGTATGCCGTAATGAGACCTGTCATTCGCGTTCTGGACAAATGTGTTACATTCCATAAGTACATTGCTTATACAATATGCTTAATGACAAGTAAGTCAAATAATCCAACAAAAGTAAAGAATGCTGTTTGTAATTAATAAGGCTCTTGCATGGGTATATGATTATGATGATCATGTACTACTCTTACAAGAATCCCTTACATACTTTCACTTGTTGAGTTAACTAGCAGCAATTCGCTAGAACCCTGGCAGCAGGTTGGAGTGCAGCTTTTAAAAAATAAAAAAATTTTGCCCTCATAATCATAAGCAATTATTTGATGAGGTTGAGCATAATATCGAAAATTATCAAGACTGAGTCTGTGTTATCTGCCAAAGCCAAAGGCTGAGGCAGATAACACAGCCAAGGTCTTGATATTTACGATATTATGCGATACCGAATTCAATAATTGCTTTATTATACATTTTGTATACTGGAAAAACATTAACATGAACATTAAATCATAGAGACAAGAATTATGAACTTCATGATGTCGCGTGAAAAACGCAAAATTTTTAATTTAGAAATTTTTAAAGAATTCTTCATAAAATATATGAAAATAAGTTAAGGATTCCTTAAATAATTGTTTTTGTACATATTTCTGGAAATAAATACACACAATGAATAAAAACAAAGCTACCACAGCGTGACCTTGAATGAACTTGACATGATAAATGTACTATCTGTAGGAAAACCTACAGATAATACATTTATCACATCGAGTTCACATGATATCAGGGATTGGTTGAGGTCTCTCGACCAATCAGATTTGAGATACTTAGTAAAATGTATAATAATGTCAATTATCAAATAAATATTGAATTTAGTGATAGATAAATACATACATAAATATTTTATGCAAAATTGCAAAATTTTCTATGTCTCAAAATTAGTTTGCCACAAAAATGTTATGTAATGTAAGGTAATGAGGCTGAGTTTGGACAAATTCCTAAATTTAGGTGTGATTCCATGGAGTATTATTTATCCTTTTACGAGTAATATCTGACTTTATGATCTACTTGTAACTATTCTTTTCTTGTTTCAGTTGTCCATGTTGGTGCGCACTGTTTTAATTTTGAAAACCTTGCCAATAGCTGGGAAACTGAAGAAAAGATTAATCACAAGCTGAGTCAGAGTAACGAGATGGTTAATCCTATCAGGGAGAAAAACGCTGTAAGTAATCATTTTTTTAATAAATAGTAAACGGGCTACTGTCCCGCGTATCGATGATTAAGAATGGGGAAGGATGATGATTCATTTTGATTCACCCTCCCCCCCTTTAAAATTGTACTCTCCCTCTCTAGTCTCATTCTCCTCTCCCTCTCCTCTCCCTCTCCTCTCCCTCTCCTCTCCCTCTCCTCTCCCATCTTCAAAGTGCCGCTACCCAGGCTATAGAGCGTTTTCACTCACGTGAGAAGGCAGCCATATTGCTGTACCAAACAATTGAAACTTTCTGCACAGTTATTGTATAAAAATAGAGCTCAATTACCAGAGGATAGAAAATGTATTGTTTTGGTACACCAACATGGCTGCTGTGACGTCACGTGAAAACACGCTATTGAAAACGTTGAAAGTCATTCACACCGGCACGGCTGCTTTACTTATGCGCAGCATTATTTCCTCTAGTATCTGCGTTTTTTGAAATCTTTTTAGTGTAGACGGGCGAAAACGCTTTAAAAAAACGCTAGCGTGGACGTAAAGGTTTCTGTGCTTGTTCGTTGAGACGAAAACGGAGCGTTTCGAAAACGCATTAGTGTATATAGACGTAGCGTTAGCTTAACTATCCATTGTATTTCCATCCCCAGGACCCTGTAACTGAGTTGTTTAAATCCAGTAAGTAACAATAAGATTTTTTTTAACTTGTACCCGAACACACAAGCCGAGTCGACCGCGTTCCCCAAAATGAACCATGGGTCAACTATTTCCGGTTTCATATATTTATTCCGGATTCCAGGTTCAGGGTCACGGTTTCCTGGGGTGCCTACCATTTATACCAATCCTTCCAGTTGGACATTCATTCGCTGGTGATAAGAAAAGAGCGGGAAAACTTTGACTTCCTACTTCCACGCGTCTACCCGAAGAACTGAAAAAAGCGGGAAAAATGGATTACCTCAATCAGAATACCGAGTTTCCGAAACTTTGATGGAAAACAAATGCATACCATTTCCGGTTTTTCCTGGAAAATGGTAAGCACCCCAGGTCTTAGGCAAACTCACACTGCTAAGAAACACAGGGCTCCCAATCCCTTGATTACGGATCATGAATAGTGACCAATGATATGTTTTTCTTTAGTCCCCGGTCTGACTGGTGCTGTTATAACACTCTGCCTAATTGTAATGGTGTCATCTTCGACGGAATTGATCAGGTATAAAATAAACGACTTTATTATATAATTACCAATGAAATATCTATTTTTCTCTATTTCGAAAAATTGATATCTTCACACGTGAAAATAACATGTTATTT